GGCCAAGGTGAGCAGATGTCCTAGACGGGGACTTTGGTGGCCCAGCTGCCTACCCTACACAGAGATTAGAAAATTGGGTCAAGTTGACTGACAGCCAGTGGGTTTCCTCACATCATCAATGCACCTGAGTCAACCAACGTTTATTGGGCACCTGCTGTGTTCCCAGCTGTGTGGTGGGATGAGGGAGTCACTCCTAGGGGCTCTCACGGGTTCAACTACCCCTGCCTGTTTCATTCCCTCCCTGGGGCCCACCAGCTTCCCCATCTGCCCACTGGCTTGGCACTAGGTCTTCCTAGTGAGAGCAGGACAAACCCTTTCTCTTCCTGTTCCTTTTTTTTTTTTTTAAGGTCAGCAAAGACTGATGAGTATTTTCAAAAGGAAGTGTATTAAGAGACATAGGGACTCTAACAAATGTAGTGATCCGAAGGGGCACCTGCACCTCAATGTTTATAGCAGCAATGTCCACAATAGCCAAACTATGGAAAGAGCCCAGATGTCCATCGACAGATGAATGGATGAAGAAGATGTGGTATACAGGGTGCCTGGGTGGCTCAATGAGTTGGGCAGCTGCCTTCAGCTCAGATCATGATCCTAGGGTCCTGGGATCGAGTCCCGCATCGGGCTCCGTGCTCAGCGGGGAGCCTGCTTCTCCCCTGCCTGCCGTTCCCCTGCTTGTGCTTGCTCTCTCCCTCTCTCTCTCTCTGTCAAATAAATTTTTTTTTAAAATAAAAAAAAAAGATGTGGGGTGCCTGGGTGGCTCAGTCGTTAAGCGTCTGCCTTCGGCTCAGGTCATGATCCCAGGGTCCTGGGATGGAGCCCCACATCGGGCTTCCTGCTCAGCGGGAAGCCTGCTTCTCCCTCTCCCACTCCCCCTGCTTGTGTTCCCTCTCTCGCTGTGTCTCTCTGTCAAATAAATAAATAAAATATTTTAAAAAAAAGATTTAGGGTGCCTGGGTGGCTCAGTCATTAAGCGTCTGCCTTCGGCTCAGGTCATGATCCCAGGGTCCTGGGATGGAGCCCCACATCGGGCTTCCTGCTCAGCGGGAAGCCTGCTTCTCCCTCTCCCACTCCCCCTGCTTGTGTTCCCTCCCTCGCTGTGTCTCTCTGTCAAATAAATAAATAAAATATTTTAAAAAATAAAATAAATAAATAAATAAATAAAAAGATTTTAAAAAAAGATGTGGTATACACACACACACACACACATATACACGGAATGGAATATTAAGAAGCCATCAAAAAATGAAATCTTGCCATTGGCAATGATGTGGGTGGAACTAGAGGGTATTACGCTAAGTGAAATAAGTCAATCAGAGAAAGACAGTTATCATATGATCTCACTGATATGTGGAATTTAAGAAACAAGACAGAGGATCATAAGGGAAGAAAGGAAAAAATGAGACAAGACGAAACCAGAGAGGGAGACAAACCATAAGAGACTGTTAATCATAGGAAACAAACTGAGGGTTGCTGGAGGGGAGTGGGGTGGGGGGATGGGGTAACTGGGTGATGAACACTGGGGAGGGTATGTGTTGTAATGAGCACTGGGTGTTATATAAGACCGATGAATCACAGACCTGTACCCCTGAAACAAATAATACATTATATGTTAATTAATTGAATTTAAATTAAAAAAAAGAGACATAGGGAGTCTAAATGGCTGTTAACTAAACTCACTGTAATCATTTTGTAATATATATTACATATATCAAATCAGTATGTTATATACCTAACACAAATGCAATGTTGTATGTCAGTTATATCTCAATAAGAAAACTGAAAAAAAAAAAAAGAGATTTCAGGAAAATCAAAGAGAAATAAACCAAGAAATAAACATCAAGGAAACCATATTGTCTATGGTGGTGGTTTAAAAACAAGGGTTCTGGGGTGCCTGGGTGGCTCAGTCGTTAAGCGTCTGCCTTTGGCTCAGGTCGTGATCCCGGGGTCCTGGGATCGAGCCCCGCATCAGGCTCCCTGTTCGGCGGGAAGCCTGCTTCTCCCTCTCCCACTCCCCCTGCTTGTGTTCCCTCTCTCACTGTCTTTCTCTGTCAAATAAATAAAATCTTTAAAAAACAAAACAAAACAAAACAAGCGTTCTGAGGCCAGACCATCTGAGATCAACACCCTGGCTCCACCACTTTACTAGCTTATGATGAGCAAGTTACTGATCCGGTCCCGCCTTGGGTTTTCTCATCTGTCAGATAATAATCATACCTATCTCTTGGGCTGTTTTGACCATTCAAGGAGGTAATCCATGCTTCCTGCAGTACCTGGCCTACAGTAAGTGATCGATAAACATTAACTACGAGGAAAAACGTTCACGTACTTATACTTTCCTTAGTCCCTCTGGCTCTTTCACCTTTTAGTGAGCTGATTCCTCTCCCTGAAATATCTTCTCCTTCACTGCTTAGCTTCTATTTAGGACTTGGCTTAAATGGCAACCCACCCACCACCACCACCAAGTTAGGTGCCTCTCCTCTTTTTTTTTTTTTAATTTATTTATTTGACAGAGAGAGAGAGCACAAGCAGGGGGAGCAGCAGAGGGAGAAGCAGGCTCCCTGCTGAGCAGGGAGCCTGATGCGGGACTCCATCCCAGGACCCTGGGATCACGACCTGAGCCGAAGGCAGATGTTTCATGACTGAGCCACCCAGGCGCCCCTAGGTGTCTCTCCTAAAATCTCCTGTTAAAAGCTTTATAATAGCCCTTGTATTTCTCTAACGCAGCACTCATCTTAATCTACAGTAACTATGTATTTGTCTTTTTCACTAAGTGAGAGCCTTTCAAGGCAGAGGCTATGCCTTTTATCCTCCACTCCCTCCCCTCCTCCTGGCACATAGCCAACCACTCAAACTCCATGCCATTCCTTACCCCTGCCAAGGATCTCCTCCATCTCCTGGAACCTGGTTCTGGGGCCCTCTGGGACTGTGCTGTCCTTTCTGTCCTCAGCTGCCTGTCATACTGCAGCCCCACCACCAAAGCACCTCCCTGCTGGGCCTCAGAGACCCTCTTACTCTGCCTACAGATCCCCCTCTGCAGGGGGGCCCAGCAGCCTGCACTGTCCAGCCCTATCCTGCAGGATGCTTTAGCCCTCTTGCCCTCTTGATGAACTTGCCTCAACTAAGACAGCCTTTCCAGCAGGATTTCAGGGCTGGCCCAGCTTCCCAGCAAAGCTCGGCTTCTACCAATATGTTGTCTCGTCTTTGACAGGGACACCACCTTCCTGGGAGAAGGTCTTAACATCTCAGACCCCCTCAGAACCCAAACCAAGGATGTCTTTTTCCATTTCCATATATTTAAGTCTCCCTAATGACTTCTCCCTGCAGCTTCGTGTTTGGCCTGAGTGGGTCACATGTAGCTCTTGGTCCATTTGCACAAAGATGCCAATGAGGAGGTGGCCACTGCCTGGACTTCCATGGAGACCTCAGGGCCAGGCTGGTCCTGGCTGGAGACCTGGGTCCCCCCAGAGGGCAAATCAGCCCACTCGCCATCCACTGTTTCTCCCCTAAGCCTAGAAAAGGGACCCTAACTCAGAATGAGGCTGGGGGCAGGTTCAGCAGAGAAGGGAGGGGAAGAGTCAATGGAACCATGGTTCAAATGGTGTGGAAAGAACAGTGCTGGGACCCAGCTGGAGCTCCCTGTGAGCTGGATGGTTCCTTGCAATCATGTCTATGCTTCCTGTACTGTCCTTGTGAATTTTCCACACACGAAGTTCCCTGGGAAAAGGCCAAACTATCTCCACCATGCTAAGTGGTTTGCCCAAAAGAAAGGGTTGGGGTTTGAGAGCTCAGGTGCTCAAGGAGGCAGGGGATGCCCCCCAGGCAGTATGATAGTGACCAGAATCAGTAGGATAAAGTAAAGGGGAGGGGTAAGGACCCTGAGTTGGCTTGAAAGCCCACTCCCACTGGCTGTCCCATGCCCAGCCCCCAGTTCTCCTCAAAGCTCTTTTTGCAGAATCTGAGTGTGGCCTCTGCAAGAAAGCTTGCACGGGTGACCCCCAAACATGGTCACTTCCCCAGGATTCCCAGACTCCCTCAGGAATCCTGGGAGAGGTTTTACAGACTTCTCTAATCTTTTGCACTTTAACACTCCAGCTGCATGAACATTCTGCCAATAACAAGGGACCTGTTTATGAGCAGGTATATTTTCTGCTGCGGGTGCTGCAGGGATGGGGTGGGGTAGGGGCCACAGCCACGACAGGCAGTCTCAAGCCAAGAGAAGGCTCTGTAGGCTGGAAGGCCTCACTTCCAAGGCAGTGGGCAACGGAAGGTAGCAGGGAGTTATAAGCCTGAGGGGCTGATCCTGCCTACTCTCTCCACCGGCACAAACGGTGGGGAGATAGCACTGGAGCGATAGGAATGCTGGCTGCTTGGGGGTGGGGGGACCTTGCTGCAGTGATGGGGGATCCCTACGTGGAGTGAGCGGTCATTGAAGCGATCACGAGAGCTGAAGATAGCTGCAGGGATGGGGGAAGATTTCTGCAGCGATGAAGGAGTATTTTGCAAAGGAAAAGGGCTGGCTTTTTTGGGGGGGGGGGGAAGTCCTGTGGTGATGAAGCGCTGGGATCGCTGCAGTGATGAAAGAGGGTCACTGCACTGAGGGAAAGCATAGCCAGGGCGAGAAGTGGGGTGCTACTGGAAAAGCTGGAGTCGTTGCAGTGTTGGGGGGGTCTGCAGACTGAGCCCACTGCTGCACTTGCAGAACGTTTCACTTCCTGAAGGACGGAAAGGGTGGGGCTTCGGAGGCCCGGGTCCCTCCTCGGTGGGGGGCTGTGCAGCGGCGGGGACGCGGTCCCTGCACTGCGGTGCCCTGTCTGGCTGGAGCGGCCAAGGCTGGCGCGGAGGCGGCACCGCGCCCGAAGCGGGGGCGGCGGGGGGCGCATCAGCCCCGCCGCAGCGGTAGGCGGGGCCCGGGCGGGCTGAAGGGGCTGCCTTCCCGAGCGGGGCGGGACCAGCACCCGCAGAGCCGACGCCCCTGCGCGGACTCAGAGCGGCCGCAGCGGGAGTCCGGCGCGGGTGCCCCGCAGGTGCCGGGACTGAGTGCGGCCCGAAACGCAGAGGCGGCCCTATCCATCCTGCTCCAGTTGTGGCGCCCAGAACTCCGCAGAGGACGCGACGGTGAGGCTGGGGTTGCCCGCCGGGAGGGTGAGGATCCCTAGACCCAGCCCGCCGCATCCCCTGACAGCTCGGCTGTGGGGCCCCCTATCTCAGATCAGTTCTGCCAGGGTGGGGAGAGGTGGGTGCCAGGCACGGATCCCACGGAATCTGCCCCAACACCTTTCCCGGTCTCGCCTCCGAAAGACCCTGTCCTGTCGCTTCCCTGTCTCGTTCTTGCCACCCAACCCCCTCCCCTCCGGCCTGCAGCCCCTCTCAGCGCCCCAGTCAGGTGAGGCGCTGGAGAGGGAAAGACTACGGTCCTTCGGCTCCCCTCCCACCCCGCCCCTGCCGTCCCTCTCTGCGCTGGGGACACCCAGGAGGATGCTGGCCCTTTAAACCCCCTGCTCCTCACCCAGAGCATCTTCCATCTCGCTACCCGCTCCACTTCCGACAGCTGGCAGCCGCGGGGAGCCCCGGGGGGCCGGCAGGTACGGGGGCGGCGGCGAGGCCCGGGAGCGGGTGATGGAACAGCTGTGACCCCCCCTCTCCCCACATCCCCACCCTTCGCCCCTGGAGGAGCAGGCGGCGGGAGTGCTGGGCGCCCGGAGCGCCGGTTAATCATTAACCCTCCGCTCCCCGGCTCCCCGCGCGGCTCCGAGCCGCGCTCCGCCCCGGCTTCCCAGGTAACCGGCTCGGATGCCCATCACACCATCCCCCCTCTTCCTCCCCTCGCCACCTGTCGGTCCGGCCGCAGCCCCCGGCTCAGCCCGGCGCTCCCGGCTGCTCCGCGTCCCAGTGCCCGAGTTCGGTTGTCCCCGCGGCTTGCAGGAGGGCGGGGTCGGGCGCCCGGGCCCCCCCCCGCGGCCCCCTTCATCGAGCCCCCCCTCCCCAGGGGCGCCATGCCCGGCCTGTACTGCCCGTCCAGCTGGACGCCGCTGCCCCTCACCGACTCCTGGGTCCGGGCCTGCGCCAACGGCCCCTGCCTCAGCCTGCGGGCGCGGCTCACCTACCACAACCCGCAGCCGCAGCCGGTGGAAGGTGAGGCCGGGGCCGGGCGCGGGGCGGCGGGGAGCGGGGGCCCCGCGCGGTCCGACGCCGTCTGTGCGCCTCCCCTCCCGCCCCAGGCGTGTTCGTGTACCCGCTGGCGGAGGCCGAAGTGGTCTCGGGCTTCGAGGCGGAGGCGGCCGGACGGCGCGTCTCGTTCCAGCTGCAGAGCCGGCGACGCTCACAGGCCGCTTGCTGCCGCGCGCTGGGCCCCGGCTGGGGGGCCTCCACGCCCCGCCGCTGCGCGCAGGGTGAGTGCCCGGCGCCCCCGCCGCGCCGCGGAAGCCAGCCGCACTCGGGTTCCCGCCCCCGCTCTGCGTCCCACCCCTGCCCGCGCCCCCTCCAGCCACTGATTTTTTCATTCATTAATTCATGGCTTTATTCAACAGTCGCGGACTAGGCGCCTGACGTGCGCCGGGTGCCGGGCCAATGTGATCCAGGCCTGACCTGAGGTTTGCGGCCTGGGAGGCAGACGCAGCAGGCAGTCCACACGTCTGTCTCTCCCCCCCCTGGAGCGTTAGCGCCTGAGTCTGGGCCCGGGCTTTGGCCATCTCAAAGCCCCAGCACAGAATGTGGCCATATGAGTGCTGGGTTGAGGAATGGAAGCCCATTCCTGTGCTAGGTTTTGTGGCTTGCACTTCATTCTTTCATTTATTTATTTGTACATTCATTTGATTCCTGCACGTGGGATTTACCATCCCAGTAAGAGAGACAGAATCCAGTGGTGTTGAGAGTTGGTACAAGCCCAGCAGGTAGTTAGAGGCCAGAGTGAACTCTGGGCTGAGGCCCCAGGAATGTTCCAGAAGGAAGTGGAGCCGGCATGTGACCAAAAGGAAGGGTATGACTGGTGAAGTGGAGAGGAGGGAAGAGGCACTTCAGTCAGGGGCAATGGTGTAAGCAAAGGTTTGGAAGTTGTGTTGAGTGATGGTAATAAAATGCCTCGTATTTGTAGTAATTTACAGTTGACAAAGTCCAGTCTCTGATACCACTTCATTTGAATCCAGAGAGGTATGTAATGCAAGTGCTGTTCTCTATCCCCATTTTATAGGTGTGGAAATAATAGCAACAGCCTCTTACGTGTCGGATGCTATGCATACATTCTCTCATTCCTCACCAGTCTTTGAGATACAGTTATTATGACTCCCATTTCATGGATGAAGAAACTGAGGCTCCTCAAAACAAGAGAGTTACCAAAGGGCAGAATTAGAAGTCACAGAGCTGAGACTCAAAACCTGATCCTGTGCTCTCCACTGTATCAGGCTTTCCCCAAGCCTCAGCTGGTTAGGATAGAAGCACCTTTCTTCCTTCTTCTCTCCCTTTTTTTCTTTCCTTCCATCTTCTTCCCTTCATTTATTCTGCAAGCATTTCTCAAAAGAATGGATAAATGATTACTGTGGGGAAGGGCTATAAGGTAGACTGGAGCCAGACCATGTAAGGCCTTGACCGCCACTGTCCACACCTGGCCATTTTTCCCTCAGCAGCAGTGACTCCCATGATGCCACCAGTCCCCCGATAAACCTACAATATGAGTAAAATGGTGTGCTCAGTATGCAAGTACAGCTTTATGTCCTCTAACCAGCTTCCAAGCAGATCACTGCTCCTAAACTCCTTTTGGGTAGGAAATTCCTAGTGGGCAGTGGGGAGCCCCTGACTGTTCATGAGCTGAGGATTTATGAGCAAGCTGGATCCCAGGCTATGGGAGATGTCAGTCCACAAGGGAGGGTCCTTAGGAAGACAATACCCAAGGGCTGAATGAGCAGGCAGGGGAAGAAGGGCAGAGGGTATGGGTCCCTTAGGATCTTGGGGGTGGTGTGGACATGTCCCCTTCTCCTCAGCTCTTCATCAGCAGGATGTCGCTACTTTTCCTGATGACAGCCAGATCCTTCTACCACCATCCTGCCTCTCCTTCAGCCATCATTCAGCTCGCGCCTCCATTCTGCATCACCAACACATTAGCCCCGTATCCCTCCAACTTTGAAAAGTCCCCCTGGCCCAGGCTCCCCTGCCTCAGCGCCTGCTCCCATTTCCTATTTCCCCCATCTCCTCTGCTTCCAGCCCCCTCTGACCCCTTTTCTCACTCACCGTAGGTCATCTTGTCTTGGATCTGGCCCAGGCCCGGTCCACACTGGTGCTGCCCACCGGCCTCATCAATGCGGCCGGCACCATGACGGTGACCCTGTGCAGCAGTCGGGAGCTGCCCTCCAGGCCCGATGGGGTGCTGCGCGTGGCTCTGCCCTCTGTGCTCACCCCACTGGCCTCATCAGGCCCACCGGGGCCCCCCAGGCCTCCGGGGCTCTGTGACGACAGGTTGGGCCTATGGTGATTCTCTTCGTCCCTCCCTCGGCTTCTCTGGGTCTAGTGCGGGTGAGGGGGCTTTGGTAGGGTGCCCTGGGGGATGGGCAGGGTGGGGAAGGGCTGGGGCCATTCAGCCAGAGGGGCTAGGGGCCTTGGTGGTGGCCCCGTGACCCTCCTCGTGCTCCCTTCCAGCCCCACCAGCTGCTTCGGGGTGGGCAGCCCTCAGGAGGAAGGGCTGGCCGGGGAGGAGCCAGCTGCCCCTCAGGATGTGTTCTCAGGCCCTGCCCGCTGCCCTGCCCCATACACCTTCTCCTTCGAGATGCTGGTCACTGGGCCATGCCTCCTGGCAGGTGGGTGCCCCTCCTAGGATAGCTGACTGGGGAATAATCCAGGGCTCAGGACTGGGGGGAACACAGGACCAAAAAAACAAAACAAAACAAAAAACCAAGGACCTAAGCCTTAGGAACCTCCAGTTTTGGGTGGAGCATCCCCTGGACACTTCTACACAACACCCCCCCCCAAGTTTGTCAGTGTAATTTATTTATATCCCACTCCACTCACCAGTGGGAACAAAGATGATTAAATTGAGACCTGTCCAAGTGATGAAGTGGAGTTTCCTTGTGCAAGAAGTGGGGGAGGGTGCTAAATCAGCAGCTGGTTGATATATAACTGATCAGCCAGGAACAGAACTGGGAATCCACCTCCCAGCCCACGAAAGCAGGACAAATCCCTCCCCTTGTCCACCCAACCCTATAGATCAGGCTCTGAGAGCTGAGCTGAGTCAGTCATGATCCTTGCCCACACCACTGTTGTCTGGAAAGGTGATATTCGTGCTTTAGGACTGGCTTGGGGTGGGGCGATTGTCCCCTCTCCCTGCCTCTCTCTCCCTCAGGCCTGGACAGCCCCTCTCATGCTCTGCGGGCAGATGCCCCACCTCATGCCAGCTCTGCAGCCACCCTCTGTGTCACACTAGCAGAGGGCCACCGCTGTGACCGGGCGTTGGAGATCCTGCTGTACCCCAGTGGTGAGAGACTGGGGCACACAGCGGGCCAGCTCTGACCTGCTTCAGGACCACCTGGGTAGCATTTTTCAAGTATAGACTTCTGGGTCCCAAGCCAGATGAATCGAGTCATCTGTGAGGGTGGGCCCCATGGTACAGGGAATCTTGGGCTTGCAAGGTCCCCCTGGGACAGTGGGACTGAGCAGTTGGGGTCCAGAGACAGGGACCGTTCTAACAGCCGTGTCCCCTCTTCCCTAGAGCCTCACCAGCCACACCTGATGCTAGAGGCTGGCAGCCTGAGCTCCGCAGAATATGAGGCCCAGGTGAGGGCCCGCCGGGACTTCCAGAGGCTGCAGCGAAGGGACAGTGATGGGGACCGGCAGGTACGGCCGCCCGGGGGGCCTGGCCTGGCCTCCGACCCTACCACCGGCTGCATTTGTGCACAAGGAACAGATAAGCAGGCTCGTGTTATGACTGCGGGGGGTGGGGGGGAGCTCTGCTCTTAGCCGGACCTCCTAGTAGCTGCCACCGCCATCCCAGAGGGCAGATGAGTACTGTCATAGGAGGGAGCATGCAAGTCTCCCTGGGGGGTGTCTCCGAGGATGGGGGCCAAGACTGACGGGCAGAGGACAGCCACCTGCCTTTGCTCTTGCCTTTATTCAAAGGACTATAAAAAGGTGCCCCCTCTGGGTGTATTCCATCGAAGCCCCCTGAGGGCTAGGTCCTGCTGCCAGCCCAGGCTGGAGTTGCACTAAGCCTGGCCCAGGGTGACTCGGGGCCCCCATGCTCAGGTGTGGTTCCTGCAACGCCGCTTCCACAAGGACATCCTGCTGAATCCCGTGCTGGTGCTGAGCTTCTGCCCAGACCTGAGCTCCGGGCCGGGACACCTGGGACACCTGGGCACAGCCACCCGGGAGCTCCTCTTCCTGCTGGACGGCAGCAGTGTAGCGCACAAGGCCTGTGGGGGCAGGGCGTGGGCGGGCCTGGGGGGCGGGAGCGCGCGCAGTGGGTCTGCGCTGGGCTGGGGGCAGCCTCTCGGAGACGCGCGCGCACCCCCCCCTACGCTCATCCGGACTCCTGGGTTCCAAGAGCCTCTCTCACCTGTGGTTACATTCAGTCGCCCCTTAGCCCAAACCCAAGGCTTCACATACCCGTCCAGGGGCTCTCACACACTCAGCCTCCCTCACACTTCCGGGCTCGCTCCTGGCCTGCCTCGCCCACACCCGCACGTCCAGCTCCTCGTGTTCACGCAGCCCGCGGAAGGCAGGCAGTCTGGCATCCCTAGCACTGCTCCAGGGGCCCGCTTCACGCCGCCCTCCCCGGCCCTCCCCAGGATGCCATTGTTTTGGCTGTGAAGTCCCTGCCCCCACAGACGCTCATCAACCTGGCCGTGTTTGGCGCGGCGGTGCAGCCCCTCTTCCCAGAGAGCCAGCCGTGCAGCGATGTGAGTACGGCCCCGGGATCCGGGGTGGGGGTGGGGGGGCCTGGTGAGGATGGCTCGGCCTGGTTGTGGCCACAGCAGGCCTTTTCTTTCCAGGACACCGTGCAGCTGATCTGTGAGAATGTTGAGACCCTGCAGGCTGCAGGCGGCCCCCCAGATGTGCTGGCTGCGCTGACCTGGGCCGTGGCGCAGCCCCAGCACAGGGCCCACCCCAGGCAGCTCTTCCTGCTGACTGCTGCCTCGCCCCTGGCCGCTGCTACCCAGCAAACCCTGGAGCTCATGAGGTGGCACAGGGGGGCAGCCAGGTACGGGCTGAGCCAGGTGCCTGACATTGACCCCCGCCCCCAAGAAGCTCCTGAAGACCACAGCTGCTTCCCTTCCCTCATCAGGTGCTTCTCCTTTGGGCTGGGGCCTGCCTGCCACCAGCTGCTTCAGGGTCTGTCTGCCCTCAGCAGGGGCCGGGCCTACTTCCCAAGGCCTGGGGAGAGGCTGCAGCCCATGGTGAGCTTGAGTCTGGGCCCTGGGCCCTGCTCCCAGAAGTCCTTCCCCCAAGTTACCCTAAGCCTGCAACACAACGCAGCCAAGCCGTGGGGTCTCCTGGCACCCTTGACCAGGACTTCTCCCCCATTCCAATTCCTGCCCTCCTTTGAGATGCCAGTCAGGAGAGGAGCTGCTGGGGTTGCTGTGGGGTGCTGCAGGAGGCCAAAGGTGTGGGGGACGTGGCCCTCTGACCACCCCCCAAATCTTACTCTGTTCTCTCCTGGTACTGAGCCATATCCTCGACAAATCCTGCCTCATCCACAGGCTTGGCTCAGGCCAGGAGACAGACCCAACCCTGAGGACTGAGCCCTCAGTCCCCTTGCTTGTCCTACCCCCATTCCTTCCCCGGACCCCAGCCTGACCCTGCTCCCCTCAGCCCAGGGGCTGGGCAGATGGCATCAGTGGATGGGTGGCCTTCCCGTGCCGTGGGCTGTGTGGCACCTCTCTGTCCCGTGCCCTCCCTCTGGCCACTCCTCACAGCTGGTGCAGGCTCTGCGGAAGGCACTGGAGCCCGCTCTGAGCGACATCTCTGTGGACTGGTTTGTGCCGGATGCAGTGGAGGCACTGCTCACGCCCCGGGAGATCCCAGCACTCTACCCTGGGGACCAGCTGCTCGGTTACTGCTCACTCTTCAGGGTGGACGGCTTCCGGCCCCGCGCCCCAGGGGTAGGCCTGGGCTGCCTCAAGTCCCTGCATGTCTTCAAAACTCTTCCACTCCCTGTGCCTCTCCCTGCCAAACTCGCCTACTGCACCCTAGGCCTCCCCGGGGACCCCACTGGGCACCCCAAGGTGACGGCACCCTGCCCTCTTCGTGAGGTCTTCTACTGAATTGTCCCATGAAGTGTTGTCCTTGGCTTTTACCAGAGGTCGTTAAAGCACACGGCCACAGAAGACAGCTCTAGCATTCGCTCGGAGGGTTCTGTGGAAACTCACTCGTTTCTTCACACAGTGCCCTACAGAAAGCACCATCTGGATTGTTTCCTGTAACACTCAGACAGAGTATAGTCTAGACGAAATCTCAGATCCCAACTCTGGCACGTACCAGCCATTTGATTTGGGGCCAGTCACTTCACCTCTCGGAGTGCGTTTCCTCATACTGAGTCTTGTCATAGGGTTGTTGTAATTAGAGGTCACAACGCGCACACTCGGTAGGATACTTGACATGCAGTAGGAGTTTAAGAAATGGTAGTTATTTTGATTTCTAAAAAGCTTTCTCTCTCTAGAAGAAATAAGCCCACTTCATTTTGATCCCGAGCGCTGTATAATGGAGTGTTTGCCTTTTTGCCTGCCTGCCAGGAAGCTCAGGGCCAAACCTGAAGCTCAGCCACAGCAGCTCTCTTAACCTTCTGATTAGCATGTATGCTTCCTCCTTCCCCAGTACCAGGCTTTCATTTCTGGTTTATTAACTTTATCGCCTCTTGTGGTGAGACATCTTAAATCCTGTTTGGAAAGAGGCAGCATATAACTACCATCAGTTTTTTCTGCAATGCCTCTCGCTCTCTAGGGCCCAGAACCTGGCTGGCAGAGCTTGGGAGGCTCCGTGTTCCCATCCCCAGAGGAAGCACCATCTGCCACCAGTCCTGGCACTGAGCCCACTGGCACCTCGGAGCTGCTGGGAACAGGCACTGTGTCAGCGGAGCTGTCCAACCTGTGGGCTGCTGGGGACTCAGAGCAGAGTGAGGACCTGGTCGTGGTGTGCAGCTGTGTTGGAGGAGTGGGCCATGGGAGAGGCCGGGGCTGGGATCCTTTCTCTTGCCTCCCAGCAGGTGCCGATGCTCTGACAGACCCAGTCACAGACCCCGGACCCAACACCTCCTCTGATACAGCCATATGGCACCGCATCTTCCAGTCATCATACATCCGGGAGCAGTATGTGCTCACCCACTGCTCCGCCAGCCCAGAGCCGGGTCCAGGTTCCACAGGCAGCAGCGAGTCCCCTGGCTCCTGGGGCCCTGGCTCCGCCGAGGGCATGGCTCCCCTGCATCTCCCTTCTCAGCAGGGCTGCCGCAGCCTGGCCTGGGGAGAACCTGCGGGCTCCCGCTCCTGCCCCCTGCCTCCACCCCCACTGGCTCCAGTCAAGGTGAGATTCAGCCCACGTGCATTCTACTAGGTATCCAGCAAATGTTTATTGACTATCTGCTATATGCCATAAATTGTGCAGTGGTTACTATTAAGTCCAGCTGAAGAGATAAGTGGGTAAATCTGTGAGGATGCCATGTGACATACAGTGGTGAGCACAGGGACATAGCATTATGGGGAGGGTCAGAGTCAAGATGGCTAACCCTGTGTGAGGGAGTCAGGAAAGCAAGAGCCACATCTGGAAGAACAAGTAGAAGCTAGCCAGGCAAAGAGGGAGAAGACATGAACAAAATCAGAGACAAGGAACAATGTCAAGTGAGAAACGGGGCATGGAGTAAGACAGCACTGGGAAGGGGCCAGGGGCCATAAAGAGTGGCCTTGCTCCTAAGGGTGGTGAGCAGCCACCCACCATTTCAGACGAAGGGCTCTGTGGCCAGTTGTGTCTACATGTGTGATGGCCAGGAGCTCTGAGTTTCTTGACTGGTGGACCCCACTTCTTATGTGCAGTCTGGGGCCTTGAGTGCTGAGGTGCTGGGTCGTCGACACAGAGCAGCTCTGGCTGGCCGGAGCCTCTCATCCCCACCAGGCCAGGTGAACCCAATCCCTGGCCGTCCCCGGCACCCCTCTCTGGGAACAGCACCTGGTGGGCCAGGCCCCGAATCAGGGCAGCAGCTGGGACAGGGCCTGGATGACTCAGGTAAGGGTTGGATGGGGAGCTGCGTTCTGAGACCACGGAGGGTCTCAGAGAGGTGGGGCCTAGGGCACCACACTGCCCCTGCCTTTATGGTTGTCTCCCTCCAGGAAACCTGCTCTCCCCGGCCCCTATGGACTGGGACATGTTGATGGAACCCCCCTTCTTATTCACGGCTATGCCCCCCAATGGGGAGTCGGCCCCTCCAGCAGAGGCACTGTCTCCTCAGGCTCCACGCTGCCATGTAGTGATCCGGGCCCTGTGTGGGGAGCAGCCTATGTGCTGGGAGGTGGGTGTTGGCCTAGAGACACTATGGGGACCCGGTGATGCTGGCTCACCGCCTCTGTCACCCCCTGAAAGAGAAGGTGCTTGGGACCAAGCACTCCATCGGCTGACAGCAGCCTCCGTGGTCCGGGACAATGAGCAGCTGGCTCTCCGTGGAGGGGCTGAGGCCACGGCTGACCGAGGTGAGCTGCTGGTGGGCCCAGGGAGGGCCCAGGGAGCCCGTATGGGGCAGAGAGTGGCAGAGGTGCAGGTCTGTGTGTTTGATCACTCTATACCTCATCTTGCTCACAAACAATTTGAGGTGGCTCACCCATATTGACAAGAAAAAAAAAAAAGTAGGGCAATGGGATAATAAAAGGAGGTGGAGAATTAGGTTATATTAAAGATGTGCACACCATGAGGTTATATGCCCTTGCGAACATGGGACCCAAAACTGGCAAGCTTCCTAGCAGCCAACACAGAGGGAAATGTGATCTTCTTAATGACTCACAGTGCCTATAACATAAAAACAAACCTATCCTTCAGGAGGACTATTAAATCAGAGTGAACGTTTCAGTTCTTCAGTGGCACCAGCCACACTTCAAGTGTTAAACACTCACATGTGACTAGTGGTTACCATACTGGATCACGGAGACCTAGAACATTTCATTCACTGCAGAAAGTTCTATTGGACAGTGCTGAAATGAGTGGACAGAAAAGGCACCACAGTTAGTGTTTCCTTTGGGTGGTGAACAAAATGTTCGATTTCTGGGTGGCCAGAGGGTCTAGCCCCGCTATGGACTGAGGGTTCAGCCTAACTACTTGTCAAAGCTGGGGAGTCTGAGCTGGCTCCTAGAAGAAACTCTACTCTGTTCAAAAGTGGACAGAGGGAAAAGCTATGCGGAACGCTGAGATTTGTTTCTATAAAGCCCTCTGTACAGGGAGGGTGGGGGAAGTGCCCTGCTCCCGTTCAGCCTGCTGCTTCCTGCTCTCACAGGCCACGCCCGGAGGTCCTGGCTCCGAGCCCTTCAGACAAGCAAGGTCAGCTGGGCCCCTTCCTGCTTCACCTGCCCGGTAGCTGTGGACGCTACCACCAGGGAGGTCCTACCCTCAGCTCTGCAGGTGCGGAGCTCAGGTAGAGTCCCTCCTAGGTGACCTCTCGGGTGCCGGCCCTCATCTCACTGGCTGCCCTCCCTGTTCACCCCCATCTCCTGTGCCCCTACAGAGCTAGCTGAGCCCCCAAGCACTTCTCCTGCCCCTCAGGGCCATCTAGATGCAACTCCTCCGCCCACAGCTGTGCACTCTACAGGTGAGGCTCAAAGTCCAGGCAAGGGTAGGGAGCAGCCAGGCTTGGGGACCACGGCTGGCACTGACTGGCTCCATTGCAGGACTTCAGGGAGGCTCTCTGGTAGGCGGCTGGAACCCGAACCAAAATGGCAAGCCCAAGTCGGCCACCAGAAGTCCTCAGCTCCTCCCCCCCCAGCCTCCCTCTAGGCTCAGCCTGGGCGGTGGGAGGGCCAGAGGCTCTGACGGCCCCCGACTCTGCAGCCCCCACCGGGGCCAGGCTAGCGGCAGCAACAGTGAAGGCGGCGGCCACGACTACTTGCCCTTGGTGAGGACTCGGGAGGTGGAGGGTGGCGCTGCCACGGCCAGGGCACTGTCTCAGCTCGCTTCTCCCCCCACCTCCTCTCTCCTCAGGTGCGGCTGCAGGAGGCACCCGGCTGCTTCCGCCTGGACGCGCCCTTCTGTGCGGCCGTGCGCATCCCGCAGGAACGCCTGTGCCGCGCTTCGCCCTTCGCCGTGCACCGCGCCAGCCTCAGCCCCACCGCGGCCGCCTCTCCCTGGGCACTCCTGGGACCTGGGCTGGGCCAGGGGGACAGTGCCACGGCCTCCTGCAGCCCGTCCCCCAGCTCAGGCTCCGAGGGTCCAGGCCAGGTGGACAGCGGGAGGGGCTCAGACACCGAGGCCTCGGAGGGTGCGGAAGGGCTGGGCGGGGCCGACCTGCGGGGCCGGACCTGGGCCACGGCCGTGGCACTCGCGTGGCTGGAGCACCGCTGCGCTGCCGCCTTTGGCGAGTGGGAACTAGCAGCGGCTAAAGCGGACTTTTGGCTGCGGGCCCAGCGCCTGCCCGATGGCCTTGACCTGGCTGCCCTCAAAGCGGCCGCCCGCGGTCTCTTCCTGCTGCTCCGCCACTGGGACCAGAACCTGCAGCTACACCTGCTGTGCTACAGCCCTGGGAACGTGTGAGGGCCCGCCCGCTGCCCTGGCTGGCGCCGCCCCCCACAGACTCCAGTCACTGCCACCCAGGGCGGGCTTCTCGGTACTGGGAGGGGCAGGCTGCTGTCTGGCCTGACCCCCACTGCTTCTCATTCCCTTCCCAGAACCCCCCTGCCCTCACAGAAAGTGCCTGCCTGTGCGCTCTCTCTCCCACTCCCCCCACCCATGCCTTTTCCCTTCTGAGCTCCTGCAGTGCAGTGGAAGAGGAGAGAGCCACAGCCCCCAAATCCTATGCAATAAAGTGCCTCCTAGGACTGCCCAAACGAGTTCTTTATCTGCAGTGTGCATGCCCCTCACAGCTTGGCGCAGGCGCTTCCATGCGAGCTGCACAGAAGTGGGCGTGGTATGGTTTATTAGGAAGGGCACAGAGTCTATTCCCATCCAGGGTCCTACGAGTGGGCTGGAGGGGAAGGGAGCTGGATCTCAGTGGGCTTTCTTGCTGTGCTGGATGCTCTTGGGGAAAGGCTGGGGGCCCAGCCAGAGCTGCAGCAGGATGACAGCATGGCATATGTGCAGGGCCGCAGAGCTGCAGGATGTGGATGGGTATGTGTTCCAGGAGAGCTCAATGAGCCCCAGCACCAGCAACCTGGAGATGAGAGCGAAGCTTAGGTTTTGCCCGGGTTCTAGGCCTGCAGCCCTTCAGCTCACCCCCAACCCTCCACGGTCAGCCTTGGGATGGGGAGCTCCCTAGCTCTTCCCACTCACCCAGGTTGTCCCAGCCAGTACCTGAGCAGATGTGTAAGCCAGCGTGCAGGCGTGGCCCACAGGAGGTAGGGCAGTGTGTGGAAATACCAGACGTAGAACTGGTAGTGGAGGGAGCGGCTGAAGCAGATGCCAATGAAGTTGGAGGTGAAGAGGGTAGAGATGATCTGTAGGCAGTGGTCAAGGCCAAGGGCAGGAGCAGAAGGGCCAGGAGTTGGGATGGGGGTGGGGGGTAGGGAGGGCCCAAAGCAAAGGGGCAAAAGTTTTGGGGTCAGACAGTCCCCTGGCTCTGCCATTCTGAGATGCATCCTTTCGGATGAGTTTCTTAACTTCTCCAGACCTGTTCCTCAGTCTAATGTGGAGACAACAACACTGGGGCCATAAGGTCTACTGAGTTTAAATTCATCACTTACAAGCTGAGTGACCTAAGTAAGTTACTTAAACTCCTTAACGTCCTGATTTTGTCATCTGTAAAATGAGCATAATAATAATAATAATAATAACAATAAAAATACCTCCCTATTTCAGAGTCTCTTGTGAGCTTTAAATGTTAGAATGTACGTAAATCTCTTAGGACAACACCAGGCAGAGAGTGAGTACTTACAGTGGTTAAGTCAAATAATATTTAGAATTAAGAATAAAACACACTTAAATATGTAAAGTGCTTAGCACTGTGGTGCAGAGTGGTGGAAGGAACAGCTCTACTCCCATGAACAGGGCCTGTAGCTATTTCTGGTATCTCCTTTTCCCTCCCCCAGGTCACCAGCCACCCAGGACTAACTGACCAGGACCCCAACCGTACCTGTAGAGGGCAAGACTTACCTTCCCATGATTTAAAGGATATGATTGGGTGTGAGGCGCTGCGGTGGAACCTTCCTTTTGGAGGGATCCTTTAGCAGAGACAGGATACTTTCCCCCGTCCTGGGGAGAAGCCATTCAAACATTTATCAAGCCCCCATCCTAGGGCAAGCTCTAGATTCACCCACATGAACTCAACATCTCCTCCAAGCAGGCCCTTCATCCTTCCCCCAACTCTGCCCATGACACTGCTCCCCTTTCTCACCTGTGCCACCTGCAGAAGGCAAAGAGAAAGAGCAGGGCGAGGTGGGCGGCCAACAGTGCCAGGTGGAAGGCGCGATGCAAGAAGAGGGCCTCAGGGAGGAAGCGCCAGTTCACTGTCCAGCGGAAGAGAAACTGGCGGCCAAGATCAAAGGAGCGGGATAGGTAGCCAATGGGGTTCTCCAGCAGGAAGGGCAGCCCCAGCAGCACCTGAGGATAGGTGTGATGTCAGCAGAGGTGCCCAGGCTCAAGCTGAGCCTTCATACTAATCATCAAGGGGAGTGGACAGAGTGCGTAGGTCTCAGAGGTTCTCAAATTCCTCCAGGAATAGCAGGAAAGCCAGCCTCCACATCCAGGCCAGAGCCTGGGGCCAAAGAAGCTGAGAAGGCAGGTAGTAACAGTCCTTTAAGTTTGGACTCACCACGTCATAAATGGGCAGAATCAGAGGGGCGCCTGCGTGGCTCAGTTGGTTGGGCGACTGCCTTCGGCTCAGGTCATGATCCTGGAGTCCCGGGATCGAGTCCCGCATCGGGCTCCCTGCTCAGTGGGGAG